CATACCCTCAGGTTACTACTGTTCTGGTTTGATGCTGAGTCCTTCACAGCTAATTATCCCTTCTCAAGGTTCATCTTCTGGTATCGGAGCGGCAACAGCCCTACTCTTCGCAACAGAAGGCGCGAAGGTAACGATAACTGGCAGGAAACCAGAGGGTTTAGAGGTAATCACTAAATACTTGAGCAAATGAATAAAGTAAACATCTAAAAATTTCATTATTCTATTATTAAATTATATTGTTTTATTGTATTTCTATTTCTATATTATTTTATTTTATTTTTATTAATTGAGAGTAGCCGTAAATTGTATTGTTTTCGGCTACAAAACAGTGCATCGTCGACGCCGGTGGTAACGAAGACAATCTCAATATCGTCATCGGTGACGTTACTGATGCCATCATAAGAGAAAAGATCATCTCCAGTACGGTGGAAAAGTGGGGCCAAATTGACATATTGGTAAGCAAAATCTCATTCTCAAAATTATTGTTTATATTTTGTTTATTCAGGTAAACAATGCTGGTGGTTTGATAGCCGATGAGAACGGATCTGGTGGAATAGCGGCTAATCTCGATACGTTAAAGAAAACGATGGAGCTGAACGTGTACAGGTGATGAACTTCATAAAGCCTTTAAATAAAGGTGAAAAATCAAATCAAAGCTAACAAGAGAAAAATTACGAATTTTTTTTACAATGCGCATTTTAAAAATGTATATTTAGTGTTACGCATCTCATACAACTTGCTCGCCCACATCTTGTTAAAGCGAAAGGAGAGATTATCAATGTTTCTAGTATTGCTGGACAACCAAAAGGAGTAAGTTGATTCTCCCAGCTCCGTTCTCCTTTCCTAGACGATCTTTCGAAACTTTAGTCGCCCAAATTTGCGTACTATTCCATGGCAAAGGCTGCTCTGGATCAGTTGACTCGTGCACTTGCTGTTGAGCTCATTGCTGAGGGAGTTCGCGTGAACAGCGTCAGGTAACCATGACTTTTCTCACGTGCCAAAGTTTGGGATAATTACTTAATTGATCTTTA